GCAATAAACTGTTGCAACCTATCGAAACCTTTTCCCCTCTTTTAAAGCTTTCAGTAGAGATCTCGAAGATACCTGCACGGAATGCGTTTAGTACAGTGGTAAATTACAGCACATACACAAAGATGTTACTGTAATCTTGTTCGAACGAATTTGCTCGGGAAAATATAAGCAAGTGTTGAAAATTTGAATTATTTATCCCTTACGTGGTTGTACGTTACCCTCCCTTTAAACGTAAAATAAAATTCGAACAAAAAGTTTCAGAAATTTTTTAATCTGCATTCAAGTCTTTTTAATCAGATTCCAACCCCTAAATTTAAACGTGAGACAGGTCAATAAGTGGAGTTGTAACCCTAAAGGTAAGACAAGTGTGCTTGAGAACGGACGGTCAATGATAGAAACGGTAATGGAAAAGAATGTCTGAGAATGAACGGGAAAACCAATTTAGAAGGAACTTGAGGATGTATAGTAACAAACAATCGATTTCCTGCATATTAAATTTTGGAACGCACCTTCTGAAATTACTTCGGCCGCGAGGAATCGATGCTCACAAATAAAAGATTAAATAAAAGTTAAAATGGAGTTTATTATAAACAAGATACCAAGATAAATATAATTAGTTACAGGACTACACAGCCTACCAAAAACCGTTTAAAATGATATTGCTGCCGATCAAGTACATGGTAGCCCTTAAAGCTCGGGGAAAATTAGTGTAACACTAAATTTATTTACGTGCTTTATTTATATAAAATTAATTGTAGATGAATTTATAAAAATTATATATTTTTTATCACTTACTTGTACTCACATTCGGAGTAATCACAATTCATTTTACTTATAATAGCAAACAGAAAGCTTCTCGAGAAGTCTATCGGCATATCATATTTGCTAGAAAGAAAGAGTCACATCCACTTTCATTCCTTATCGTCGGTGACTAATCCTTTGTCAACTTGATGGCGCCTTGATATCGCTCTAAAAAATTTGCTACATCACTAAATGATTCCCCAGAAAATCTTGTTAAAGTTCTAAAGTGCAAATACGAGAGCAAGCACGTAGGCAAAAATGTTGCGCCGGTTTTAACCAAAATTTAATGCCCAAATTGCAGGCTAGGTACTACCATAGAGTATATACAATACTCTATGGTACTACCAAACAGGTCACCACGCATTCCATCGTTTTAGGATGTAAAGGAATATTTATTAAACAAATGAGACAAGTTGTAAAACTACTACTTGTCGCATTCACAAGGGGTGTCCATTGTCCAAGCCTTTTTAGCTATACCTTAGCGCGAGCCTTTCATTCCCTTTGTCCCTTTCTGTCAGCAAAATGTCTAAATAGTAACAGTAACAAAACCAACTTTAATTCCAAGGTCCGATTCAAAATCTGGAATGGCAACGAAAAACAGACAGAGGATTCCACAATAATTTTGATGGATAAACGTGTTTTCTCTTATTACAAATAAATCTCGTTCAGTTATTATTTTTAATACGTTTGTCCATAGCTCTTATTTGGCGTGCTGTTCATTTTAATTGATTTTATTTTTTAAATGGGTAGCAATTTAATACTCTGAAAGTGTCTATCAATAGATGTCACTGCCTTTACTAGTTTAGAATTAGATATCAATGTTTAAAATTTGGCATTCGGACATTCTTGGGTAATCTTACGCCTTGTGCGGATAGTACCTACATGTTCTTTATTTCTAAAGATTTAATTATAAATCACGAAACTCAAATCATATTTAGAAGATTGATTTATTAGAAAAAAGGTCTTTAGTACCGTAAGTTAATTTAAAAATTAAATTATAATTATTTAACTCACAAACATTTTAGTTTTTTTTATTGGAGTTTGGTTCCCGGAAGAAAAAAATTAATGGTTGTCAAATAAAACAAAATAATTTGAGAACTTACCAGTAAAATTCAGCATTATTCGTCAGTGGTCAAATTCAGCATTTCAAATTTCCGTGGAACGACAGGCGTCGAACAGAAAGAAAATTCCAGACGTCCGTAGAACAGAAGGTAAATTCAAGGTTAGCCGCAATCTTTATTTTCCAAATTTTCGAGTACTGACGTAATTTATCTAAGAAGTACCTTTATTTGTTTTTTTGCATCATTTATAAGTGTATTATAATTAGCTAGTCACAGGACGTGAGCAGTATGTTTTTGTTTGTGATTGAATTTTGTTTTGTTTTTAAGTTTCAAGTGACGCTACTTGCTTTAATTTTAATTAATGTTCAGTAAGGATTCTACACGGTTTTAGTTTTTACCCCTATGTACAAATAGCGCTATTTTCCATTCATTAATTTATTATCCGGCGTTTACCTAATTTCATTAATTTCTTCGCATAATAGCAATTAAAAGTTATTTGTAAAAAGAGTTTCATTAAAGAAAGCAATTTCTTAAAACAAATTTTATTTATTTCTCGCTATATAGCGTTTAGGATCGAACAGGCGGATGGTCGGATGGAGTTTACAACACCTATCTAAGGAGAATTGTACCTACGCTACAAATTTGGAACAGTGTACAGAAAAATAATTAAAATTATTTAGTTTGCCAAGCGATTATTAATTTCGAGGTTTTGTAGAAATTAAATCTGGGGTCTATTTTTGAGAATGGGGAGGTGACATTAGGATGAATGCAACTCGTAAACAACGCCATTTGAAATACCACTAATACTTCTGATTCAATAGTATTAAAATAGGTACTCAAAGTTGTTTACGAAAATTTCACTTTAGGTTATTGACGATAGAGATAACGACACTGGCCGTTATGTATTACCTACCTCTTATTATTTGTACTCGTAGTGTCGTGTGAACAGTGCGGGTTGTGCAGTACATCGGCATTCCTTTGGCATCTAATGGACTTTGCTGATATCATTTGTAAATTAGTAAGACTATATGGGTGGTTCCCTTTTAATGTAAAACATCAATGCTAAAAAACTACTGTTACTAGTCAATATTTTTTCAACAAACGCAACAGACAAACTGTTTAAAAGAATTTGGTCCTTTAAGCGCTGATGGATTTGGCCCTTAGTTATTTTAAGGTATAAATAGTGGTAAATTATTCTAAGTTTAATATAAAGAGTGGCCCAACGAGTAGTATACAGAGGGCTTTTAGGGTATTAAATTTAGAAATTTCAAAAAATCCTCGAACACGTCAATTTTGTATTCGAGAGGGACAACTTTTGGAATACAAATCACGAACCCAAGTCTTTACCCCTCTACGTAGGGAGCTTTAGCCCTAAAATTTTAAATGGAATCGTATGGCAAATGGCACATTATTTGAAAGCGAATTTAATCGTTATTACTAATCTACTTTGCTTTTTAAATTCTATTGATTCGTTTCGGAGAACTGACAGGTTCACTTAAGTTTAACAAACAAATTGAAGCGTCAAAATAAAATTTTAATACAAGGTGACTTAGAATTTAAAAAGCAAAGGAGATTAGTAATCACGATTAAATTGACTTTCAAATAATGTGCCATTTGCCATAGGATTCCATTTAAAATTTTAGGGGTTAAGCTCCCTACGTAGAGGGGTGAAGACTTGGGTTCGTGATTTGTATTCCAAAAGTTGTCCCCCTCGAATCCAAATTGACGTGTTCGAGGATTTTTTGAAATTTCTAAATTTAATACCCTAAAAGTCCTCTGTATACTTCTCGTTGGGCCACTCTATATATCTATATCCACAAATCACATATAACTCTGGCCAGGAAAGATTGCCGGTCACAGCACACCTTGTGTCGATTTACAATCTCTGTTTTTCGTAAGATGCTAGCGACTTCTGGAATAGGATCGTGCTAATATTGAACAAAAAGTCTTTTCGTTCAACACTGACACGATACTATCCCGGAAGTCGCTAGCATCTTACGAAAAACAGAGATTGTAGATCGGGATCAAGTGTTCTGTGACCGGCAATCTTTCCTGGCGAGAGTTATACAGATTTTTGGTATCCTAGGTATCGGGGTCACATGTGATACAAAAATGAGTCAGGTATGGGAGGGGGAGGGGGGAGAGGGGATCTCCATGTTACAAAATCTCCTTGGAATTCCTTTGAATATCCTATTGGCTTTTTTCGGTTTTTTTTCTGGCTCGAACACATCCACTGGATGCAATCAAGGAAATCATCACTCTTCTCACTATTAAATCCCACTTAATAAACTTAACATATAATATCTTCTTCTTCAGATTTTCCCTCTTCTCTCAGGGATAGCTGTGCCTGACTCTCCTCCTCCACACACTCCTTCCGTTATTTGAAGTACATATTTTGCCTACGATGCATTGTGAACTGTTGTAGACCATTTAATAATCTGTCATATGATGTACTAATATAAAGGGTGTTCCATAAGAAAACAGTCATATTTTTGTTATAACTACAGATTTGGATTCGGTAGAAAAAGTACACAATTTTGGAAATTCAACCGTCTTTCTAACTCTACAACTAAGAAAAAGAGCAATAGTGTCGACTTAATTTGAAACAGACTGTGTATGAAACAATTTTGTTGATTTAACACCCCGCACCTCACTTTTTAAGACATTTTTGCTTATGATTTTGGCCCTAAAGAACTGCATATGTCTTATCAGATTACTAATTAGCATTCAATGAGTTCTATGCATTATTATTTTCAAATTTCCTTCCCATTTTCAATGTACCTGTAGCTGTCTTTAGTTTCTAGAAAAAACTGCATCTGAACCACAATATGCGCATTTAGCATTTTTTTTTAAATTACATTTTCTTAAAGGTTATTATTACGATTTCCAAAAAATAAAAATTTTCTGAAACCATTTAGGTCCTCCTAGAATAAAGAGACGATTGAGCAAATGTCTTTTATGATCACCAGCTACAAGGTGGATGAGTCCCATATTCATTACGTAGTCATTGCTCATGGTATACGAATTACAAACAAGTTTACGGTGTTGCTAACAATTAACAAACATTTGTATTTATTATGCATTAAATACATAGTAGTCGGTGATATAACCATAAGTGAAATTAAACGTCAAATTAAAGTAGTGTCTTTATGGGGTGGTTTAAGTGCCAATTTGAAACTTTTTAAATATTAAGGCCAATTACACTAAACTTTATACTAGTTATGTGCATTATAAATATAAAAACAAATAATGAGAGCCAGCGTTCCGCATCCCTTTGGTAAGTAACATTTTACAAACTGCGCCCGTATTTCATATTCGCAAACTTTTAAAGTCAATCTTTTTGATGAATTAATTCAATTACAACGCGAGCGAATTTAAAAATGCTTTTAGGCAGTAAACGTAGATAAATACGCGCTTTCTCCAATAATCACATTGAAGTCGCATTTGTACCTTCAATTTTAAGGGATTTTCAATCTAGATTTGAGTAATTAGATTTATTAATCAAACGAAACGCGTCACAATCCCTACCATTAATGTAATCCACGCAGTCCCGTCAAAAAACGCTTCGTCTGTTTGAATGGGGCGACTTTTCCAGCATACACGTCAAACATACTCGTACAAATTCTAAAGTATTTGCACGTGCTGCTAGATTTAGAGGGAGTCAAGTTTATAGCGCGCACCCTTAGAATATATTGTTTTATTATTAGCACTAAAATGTTACAAATGCAGTAAAAACTTGAACTTTAGTTAAATTAACTTTGAATTTTTTAACGTATTAACCCGCTTAAATCGCCGGAGCTTGCGATAATGAAGTTTGCAAAGAATTCGCTATATTTTACCTTTTCCGTTATACAAGATAAAGCACAATTTGTAAGTTCTAGAAAATAATCAAATTCTTTATCGAGTTTGAAAGCTGATCGAACGTCGTAATGCTGGAATTCAAATACGAGGGCGAACTTTTATGTACTTTATCTAGCTTATGACTTGTAATAAATGTTACTTTTCTTCAACAGCTGCGTTCGGCTACGAACAAAACTAGACTTTTGACCTATCGTTTACTTCCGCGTTTTCTCAAATTAGTCCTCAACGAACGAATCGTTTCATACATACCTAAAGAGGAATTCTATAAAACGTCAAAGAGCCTCAAAGAAGTTGGTGTAACCGAGTGGTTTTTAATGAAACAAATAGAAAATACCCAATATCCCAAGCCGAAAACTGTTTCGTGCTTCTATTGTAGCCGACTTTTGTTCAGAAAACCCTAGGTTTTGAATATACCAGTATAAAGTTGATGATGGTTGAGCAAAGACGAAACGTCAGATAAAAAAATTAACCTTAAAGAGCAATAAAAGTTGGATTCAGGTAGTTTGGATCAAAATTGTCCTAGATCAAATGTTTTGAAGACAGTAGGCGTAGTTACGACACAGACAAACAGGCAGAAAAAGAGAGTATCCCCACTTGACAAGCAATGTTAAAAAAACGTTTGGTACGTTAAACGAATGTTGCATTTTGAAACAACTCAATTAAACAAAACATCAACGTTATACCAACGATACTTGAATGGCTTTTGTTTCTAAACCGTGGATACGACGTTTTTGTAATGTTAAAAATTGTAACCTTTTGGACTTGCGTCGCTGGAACGGGACATTATTACGTTAAAATAACATTCAGAATGCTAACGTTATACCAATATTACTTTGACAACGTTTTTATGCAAAACCTTGTTGCGATGTCACTATAATGTTAAGGAATGTGATGTTATTTGCGTACGTTGACGGAACCACACGTAACTACGTTAGTTCAACTTTTAAAAGCTTAACATTACAACAACGACATTTTGGTACTGTTAAGTTGCACAGTTACAGTAACGTTCTTGTAATATTAAAAATGTGCCTTTGGGCATTGCGCAACGAAAAAATAGCTGGTCGGTGACTCATCACTCGGTTTATCTTCATTTGCAGTTTAACACGTTTGTTGAATGTTGGTTTTCTGTGAATTGAGTGATGTGATTCAAAATAAGTGGAGGATAGTTTGAATTAAGTGTTTAAAAATTGTGGAGTTTTTTGGTTTAGACATTGGCGATTGTGGTTTTTTTCATCAAGGATGAACGACAATGACTTCAACAAATAAGCTGAATAAGCTATCCATTTACGGCGATTTTTACGTATTGAATTTCTCTGTATTTTCCACCTTGTACGCATCTTTTTATTTTAAATCAAACAGTTCTACCAGGGTTCCTCCTAGGCGTTAGCAAATAGCAGTATGTAAAAGTACGTAAAAGACGTAAATTATTTTATGGATGTATAACCTTACTTTTTTAGAATCTTCCACAATGTCTTTTTCACCAAAACATGACGCGTTCGTCTTAAAGGAACATTATCAAAGTGCAAGTCTACAGGATGGAACATGGACGCATTCCATTCAATCCTGTCGCCAGCAATTCTATCAAGAATTTCCTGATATCCAACGTTTTCCTACAAGGTATTTTCCATTTTCATACTCCATGATGCCGAACAACAGTTTTACGATGATCGATTAATTAGCAGAGGATTGTGGTCACCACGTTCTCCAGATCTAAGACCGTTAGATTTTTTTCTGATTTTGAAATACAATATTTTTCGAAATCGTCTGCACATCACTGAGGAACTTCAAAATGCAATCGAAGAGGAACTAATGAACATTACACCAGTAATGTTAGAATGAGTTTCCGATGATATCAAAATATGTGTGTAACTGTGCATTCTTTATAATGGTGGGACATTTTTAACAATTTTGTGAAGTGATTGATGTGAATGAAATAATGTTTTATACATTAAATTTCTGGTAAAAAATTATTTGAATTACATATTTTAAATTTGAATTTTTTTACATTGTGCACTTTAGTATCACAGTGCAAAATTGTTTATTAAAGTACACAATCTGTGACAATACTAAATTACGTTTATGTCATCCTTGTACATTGACTTAACTTTGTTGTCAGCTAACGGTGTTGTAAACATATTCCTTAACAATACTGTTACCTTACAACATAGTAAATATGACTTTAATAATACCAACCGTCAATGTATAAGGATGATATAAACGTAATTTAGTATTGTTTAATAAACATTTTTGTACCATGTTTATACAACATAAGAGAGTTACATCGCATTGGCGTTTGTTTCAAACGTTCAATTAACGTTAAATGCTGATGTTATAAAGTGTTATATGATGTAACGTTTGCTAAACGTAGGTATTTAGACGTTACAGAGAAACGTTCTTGAAGCATTAGCAGTCGCGGTGACGTTAATAGTAAGTTAATGGTACTTATACGCTAACGTTACAAGTCACCATTAAACGTTTATTAAACGCTAATGTTGCACAATTTGGTCATGTGGGTCTGCAATAGCGCATGCGTAAGAGTTTGAAAATTAAGGGATCCAAATAATCTATGAGACCCTAGTTTCACCTGTTTACCGTAACGTACTTCTACAGCGAAATAACTTAGCCGGTTTGAGTCTAACCTTTGGCGCATAATTATTAGAATTGAAAAGGTCATTTATTAATCCTTAAGGAATTTCGAAACCATTTAAAATGTGTTTAAGAATCTATTCGTTTTTCCCTTCATAAACAGGATCTTGGCGGTCCCTAATAATTCAGTGGAGAAAAAACACATCCCGTGGTAAGAGGCGTGCCGCAAGGTAGCATATTAGGGCCTTTACTTTTGCTTATATTTATTTATTAATGATATGCCGTTATCAATACTAGAAGGCATTACCTGCGTACTTTACGCTGATGACGACACTTTACTGGCACATGACAATAATATGGAAACTGGACTTCGTGCTTCTGAAGCCAATCTTGTAAATTCGTGGTACACAAGAAATGAATTGTCAATGAATGCAGCGAAAATTGAAAAACTTATTATGACTCTAAAAACTCATAATGTTAGTGATAGTGAATCCGTGAAGTTTTTGGACGTATATTTATACCTCAAATTATCTTTTAATGTAGGTACATGTTAGGTCGATATCTATTAAATTTAACAGAAACTTTTTTTTATTACGTAGATTAGTAAATAGTGTTTCCTTCTCAATCAGTTGTATTAAAGACATATTATGCACTATATCATAGCATATTATCGTATGCAATAATCACTTGGGGAAATTGTCCACAGTCAAATTATGCCTTCAAGTTACAAAGACGAGCTATTCGGATTATTGCGAATATTGGTTCTCGTGATGAGTGTAGGCGTATTTTTTCTACACTAGGCATTCTAACTGTACGGCTTGTTTATTTTAGACTCTGTGTGTTATGGAAAATCTAAATTTGAACAATATGTATTAGTTTCGAAAGTACACAGTACAATACAAGAAAAAGCTTTCGCTAAAGATACCATTTTGTAGATTGGCTAAATCTCAAAATAGCACTCAAATTGTTGCCTTAAAACTTATTAATCATTTATCTGATGATGTTAAAGTAATAAATCACCGCGAAAACTTAAGCGAAATGTAAAAAAAATGGTGATAGGATCCGCATTTTACAGCGTGAAAGGGTTTTAGGGCAACAGTGAAGTGAATAACTACAGTTGAAATGTTTTTGTTTTGTTTTTTTAATTGTATTTCCCCATTATTTTCCTTTTGGACGAGTGTAAGTACATTGTTTACATTTCCATGAAATATATACATTATCATTATTATTATAAAAAAATATTAAGCATAAAAATCGTCCAATATTATAAAAAAAATCGCCGGCAACACCACAGAATTCATATATCTTAATCTATTTTCGCCAATATCTCTAGTTCTAAAAAAGATACAGATCTGGGATTTTAAACTAATATTATCTCATTTAATTTTTTTAACAAAAATCGAAGTACATATATAGTTCAATTTTAGTTAACGCTCTCTAGTGACGACTGTAAAATTACCAGGTATAAAAGTAATAAAGACTGTTGGTAGGCCAAACAAAAAACACATTAGATAAAATTCAGAGAAAATTTAAATTTATATTTGATCATGACTGTTGTGCTCCCTAGTGGTAATTTTACTCACTCGAAAATAATTTCCAGCAATAATTTTTTACCCGAAAGTTCTATCTCTATTAGTTTCTGAGACATGGACGACGGCCATTCTTATTTGGCCACTCGGTACACACACATGAATATAGTCTCTGGGGTAGGTACCTATGTCAGGTGGCTTATTTGCATTTTTACCCTCAACGCACTCAAAATTTCAAAAATGGGAAGATATATCACATATTCGAAATAAGTCACCCTGCTAAATATGAATAGTCATTATT